CTGCCCCCTGCCCCCTGCCCTGGCTCTCAGTTATGCGGGCATGGTGCTTCCCACTGTGTTAGAGTTCATTTTATGTGTCTGTCTCCCCCTCTTCTTGAGGGGAAAGAGGAGGAGGAGGGAGGATGGGTCTTACTTAGTTCCTAGCTCCATGCCCGTGCACAGAGGACACCGAAAATGTTCCACGTGGAAATACCTGAGCACCTGGCTGTGGGTACATCCTGTTGCAGAGTGCACAAGTTCAGGCTTTGAGGAGAGCCATGATTTCTGAATCTGCCCCCAGCCCTTATCTATCTATCTATCTATCTATCTATCTATCTATCTATCTATCTATCTATCTATCTATCTATCTATAATCTATCATCTATCTATCATCTATCTATCTATCCATCCATCATCAATCATCTATCTGTCACCTATCAATCTATCAATTATCTATCTTTCATCTATCATCTATCTATCTCTATCATCTATCTATCTATCATCTATCTATCAATCATCTATCATCTATCTATCTATATCATCTTTCTTCTATATCTATCTACCCTTTGGTGTGATTATGGCTTAGTACTTCAGTTTCCTATCTATGTCTATCTCTCTAACAGCAATCATCTATCAATTATCTATCATCTATCAATGATTATCTATCTATCTATCTATCTATCTATCTATCTATCTATCTATCTATCTATCTATCTATATCTATCTATCTATCTATCTATCTATCTATATCTATCTATCTATCATCTATCTATCATCTATCATCTATCATCTATCTCTCTACCTATTATATATCTCTATTTATCTGTCTACCTTCTTTCCCCCACAGCTCACAGCAGTTTGGGGGCACACTGACCGACCATCTGAAGGAGATCTGTGGGAGGAAATGGAGTCTGTTTGGGGCCAGTTTAACTACCCCAGGCCACTCACATGTACATTCACTTTTTAAAGTGGCCCCATTGTGACCTGGAAAAAATTAACTTGGCTCCCCAAAGGGCCTGTTCCCCACGCAGGTGTTGTGGGTACCTGGCTCTGAGCGGGCGGGCACCATGGCTCAGCTGCAGCATCGCAGCCACGGACACACTTTATCTCTTTCAGACAACCTTTGCCTCCTGCAAGTGTTTGCTGGGCGGGTGCGTTTCCTGAGTGGCCGTGCAGTGCTTGATGTCACAGACCGCCTGCCAGGTGAGCACCCCCAAACATACCCCCCCAGCCTTTCAGTCAATCTCTATGCTGCTCTCCTGGCATGTTGCTGAACCCACTTATCTTAGACCAAAAATAACTACAGAGCATTTAAAATATTTGGTAATTTGGTTTTTAAAGATAATCCCCACATCGCCAGAAGACGATCTTTGTATTTGATGAAAATGAAGCAGGTTGGTACATAACCAAAACAGTTTCTAAGAAACCCTGATGCCTTTCTTTTTCTCTGCTAGTAGCCCAAGGGCGCCTGACCCCTCCTGGGCAGGTACTGCCTTGCGGGCCCATGGCTGGGTCAGCAGCAGCACAGTCATGACAGTTAGGTAAAGTTGTCCCTTCTTCGGCCTGGCGAGTGGCGCACGGGCTGGATTCCAACCCCACCCAACCCCTTGGCCAGGTGCCCAGACTGTGTTACATGGAGATGGGGCCTCGGCCTGAATCGGCTCTGCCTTGTTCAAGCTTCAGCCATGGAAAGCTCGTTCCAAGCTCCTGTCTGTGTTTAGTTTGCAGCATTAGCTTCAAGTGATTTCATTCCAGCGCTGAAAGCTTCTCCCATGGCCCTTGAGGTGGCAGAGTGGAAAGGACACAGGCTTTGAGGGGGACAGACCCATTTGCTACCTGCCAACTCTCACCTTGGGCAGGTTACTAAAATTGTTTTTGTCATCTTTCTTGCTTGCTAAGAGCCTCCTTCCCATCCAGGAAGGTCCCATCTGGGAAGGAGGCAGAATTCAGTCTGTTCTCTGGATTCCCGAGGGCCCCCTACAATGCAGATGGATCATGCCACTCCCCTGCTTAAATCCTTGCGAGGCTCCCAGCAGTCTTCAGGAGAGTGGCCAAGCTCCCTGGAGTGGCCTGCAAGGCCTGTCTCTGCCTGGCCCTCGAGACTAAGCTCCCTTCCCCACCCCCAGTTATAGATCCTGGGTCATTAGTCCTCATAACAACCCCATAAGGAGGGTGTGGGTCCCATGATTATCCCTCCAGTAGAAATAAGGAAAATGGAGCTTAGGAAGGTTAAGTGCCCAAGGTCCCTGGGTGAGTAATCCAGGATTTGTCCCCAAGCGCATGGCTGCAGAGCCAGGTCCTCACCCTCCGTGCTATGCCTGGGTAGCCCTGATCTTTGCCTCCTGGGTGCCAGCACGCCACCCTCCTTATAGAGGCTGGTCTCCATGCTCTCACCTCTGCCTGCCACATGTGGCTCCTGGCCTGCAAAGCACCATTGCAGCTCCTCCATTGCCCCATCTCTTGCTCCTGGCCTTGTGTGTGGGTCCCAGAGGTGGGCGGGTACCCTGCTTTAGATGATCGATTTACTGTATATATTTTCTATTTCCAAGAGACCCCACAAAGCAAGAGTTTCTATGCAGCTCTTCTGTTAACTAGGTGTCAGCCAGGAGCACAGAAGGAAATTTCAACTGACATGAGGTGGGGACTAATAATAGCACAGTTTAGCAGGAATAAATCTCGTGCTAATTACTCCAGCTGCCTTTTAAGCTTAAGTGTAATGGGGTTTTCTTCCTCGTGATGACTCCCAGAAGGGCTACTGCCAGTCTCTGCCAGCTTGAAAGACCCACCGTGAGCCAGGTGACCCCCCTCTCTGTCCCCGGGGAACGTGGAACTCAGGTGGGCGGGATTGATGCCCCCCTTTGGGAGAGAGAGGAGTCCAGTGTGGCGGCTGTGGCAAGACAGGGAAGGTCGCTCTGTCCAGGGCAGGTGGACCCCTCACCCTTTGGTGGAAGCAGGGAAGCTGTGCCTGGGCCTGGTTCTTGGGAAAGTTCTCACCCTCATTTGCAGGTGGGGATTTAGGAAACTTTTGAGTTACAGGTGTGCAGAGCAGGTAGCTGGTCTTACCATGCGGCTTGGCATCCAGCCCCTGGGAAGACCATGCTGTCTTACTCCTGCTGGCTGCTTTATTTTCCAGATACGCCACGTGAAAGAGTATCCAGTTCTCTCTCTAGTACGAGTTTTCTCTGTCTTTGGGTGAAGCCTCAGAGGTGGTAATGTGGATTTAAGCAATACTAGCCCTAGCTACTATTTGTAGCCTGCTTCGGCACTTCACATACATTTATTATCTGATCTCTAATGATCACAAGAGTTTCGTTCAGGATTCTGATCTTTACCTATCAGGGACTAGACTCAGAAAGGTCAGCAGCTTTTCAAGCTCCCACAGCTAGTAAGTGACAGAGGCGGGGCTGCGACCCGGGTGCACCTGCCTCTTCCTCTCTCCTGGGCTGCAGGGACCCACTATGTCTGTCATGGGCCCCGAGCACTTTGCCTTTGCCTACCCCTTCCCCCATTAAAAAAAAAAAATAACTGTTATTTTATAAAACTTGGTATAAACGCAAATATAAACCAGGCTACATATCTTTGCCTCTTCTGATTTTAAAAGAAATTAAAATCTGCTCATGGGCCCCTAACAGGTCATGAGGCCCAGGCACTGTGTCTAATGGATCAGTTGGCCCCCCCGGGCTGCCTGCCCTTTGAGGGACAGAGCTGGTGTCCCAGGAGAGGGCAGTGGGAGAGCAAGAGAGCGCCCGACTCAATGNCATATTTCCCTCTTCTGATTTTAAAAGAAATTAAAATCTGCTCATGGGCCCCTAACAGGTCATGAGGCCCAGGCACTGTGTCTAATGGATCAGTTGGCCCCCCCGGGCTGCCTGCCCTTTGAGGGACAGAGCTGGTGTCCCAGGAGAGGGCAGTGGGAGAGCAAGAGAGCGCCCGACTCAATGAACTCTCCCTCTCTTTTCCTGCATGACAGTGCTGGTGGCCTCGGTGTACCCCCGAAAGCCCCAGGCCGTGGAGCGCCACGTCCTCCCGGTCCTCTGGTACCTCCTGAGCAGCATGACCGGGCCCGGGGCCCTGCCCGGGCGGGGCGGGAGCGTCCGCGCAGTGCTGCGGCGGCTGTCCAGGTGCCTCCGGGAGCAGATGGGCCCCCGGCTGCAGGACTTGGCTGCGGCTCAGCCCAAACAAGTCCTCCAGACGCTCCAGGACCTCTTAGACACGGACTCCCGGTGAGGCAGCCCCAGGGCGCTGGCAGAGGACTCCCGGCAGCAAGGCCGGCAGCTCATGTGCCTCGCGGCGGGTTAGAGGCGGATCTGAAACGGGCGATCGTTACTTTGCATCTTGTTTTATTTTTATGGTGGCGTGATCTCCCGGCCTACTTCCCCTTAGAGTTCCAGATGTACACAGTGTATTTTGAAGTAGAAATAAAAGAATGACTTATTTTTCTAAGGTTTTCCTATCTTCCACTTTTTTTTTTAACCTCAGAGAGTTTTTCAATCGCTAGGTTTGTAACAAACAGAACAAAACACGACGACGGCAAAACCTGCTGTGGATAACACTGAGACAAAGACGGGGGAAAAACGTAGCACAGACCCACAAGGTGCAGGCCATTTTGGGGTATAGCCCCCTGTCTTTGGACAGCTGGACAACCCCCACCCCAAACCTGGGGACCCTGAGTTGGCCACTGCATTCCAGTCTCGTCAGTGGCCTGATTGGAGGTGAGTGTAACAAGCAACTCTGGGGGACACGTGCTTCTGCCTTAAAACCTCTTCTGCAGTGTCGCCTACGCAAACCTTCTCATGAGATCTATCCAGCTCATCCAAAGGCAAGGAGAGTGGGACATCTGCGCTGCTGAGAGCCTTCTCTGGAGGTTGATAGATGGTGCTTTGCACTTGAAACACCATAAATGAAAGCATGTGGTGGAGCACACAGCTCCACACGGTGTGCACATGTCACGTGGACGCTCTGAAATGGCGCAGGTTACTCCAGCTGGGCTGGATGGAGAAGCCGGAGAGGCGTGTGGGATCAGGATGGGCCCGGACACGGGGAAGCTGAGAGAAGGTGCTGCCCACGGGAGGAGCAACTAGAGACGTGGCGTCCTGGCAATGAGAGGGTCCCGTCCGGGGCTGGGGCTCTGGACACAGCAGGAGCGGCTCTGCCTTGACTAGGGCCAGCGGCAGGTCGACAGTGGTGTCACCAGGAAGAATTAGAGCTCAGGTCATTGCCTCAAACACACGGGTAAAGAAAAGGCTGCCGAGTAGAGTCCCAGTGCCAGCCAAGGAGGCCAGACCACAGCAGCACTCTGGGCAGATCCACAGGGTGCAGCGGGAGGCCCCAGCTTGCCACAGGCAAGTGTTCTCTCCACTGTCACCACCCAGAGCAGAGCATCTCTGTTCTCAGCCTCTTCTGGGGAGTTAGGCCCCGAGTAGGCTGGGAAGCCCCAAATTGACTCACCTCTGTATTTCCAACCCCGTGGGTGCCCTGGCTAAGGAGGCCACTCTTCCATCTTGCCCATGTTGCCTGGTGTAATTAGGCCGCCCGCCCCCCCTCCCCCCTTTGTCCTAGGGCAAGCTCGGGCACCACACAGACATCCTGGGGGGTGGGTTTTAATAGGCAGAATAAGTGTGACTTTGGGTAATTCTAGCCCCAGTGTGAGCACTTCTCACCTAATTGTGACCCCAGCAGGGGCTTCCTGGCCCTTTGTTCATTCTGTCTGAACCAGGTTAAAGGCCTGCTAGGCAGAGAGCCATCAGAGATGCTCATGAGGCTGATTTCAAGCATTTGTTAAGTTTTCCACAATGTAATTGATTTTGTTTGCTGTGAGTTTGAGTCAACTTTTTGGGTTTGGTCAGCAGGCTGAATTTTCTGCTTGTCAAGATCCTAGAACCCATCAGGACATTTCAGGACTTTTAAGAATTATAGGAGCCCAGGGATCGAGTACTGCAGGGATTTTGAAGGCAGAGATTAATCTCAAGGTCATTGTCCTGTCTCCCTGCGGTCCTGTTCTATCTTCCAAGTACATTTTCAAACCCAAAGCTTCCCTACCCCTGTGCTCTGTACCCACCCCCATTGCTGAAAACAACTGAACACAGGTGAAAAGCAAAGAATACGTCTTTGCCTAGTTCTGTTTTCTCTCACTATTTCAGGCTTTAACCTAGTCCCAGGCACCCTGGGCTCTGGGCTGTAGGCCAGGGGTCTGGAGAAGTGAGCGCATTAGTGACCTGGGGGTGCCTGCAAGAAGCAGGCTAATGGAAGGCCAGTCACAGGGAGTAAAGGTCGGCCTGGGAGCCAGGGTGGGTCTGAGCTGAGTCACCACCCCCTGCTTGGTTGTGTGTGTGGCCAGCAACTCTACTTTCCTAAAGTGCTCTTCAGGTGGGAATAGTCTCCAGCTATGGAATATGGAAGGTC